CTCACGTGAGGCCTAGAGGAGACTCCTGACTCCTGGCTTCAGATCAACTCAGCTCTAGCCATTGCGGCCATTTGGAGAGTGAACCAGTGGATGGAAGATCTTTTTCTCTCTGTCTCTCATTCTCTCTATAAATCTGTCTTTCCAATAAAGATAAATAAATCTTACCCACCCCCCCAAAAAAAGTGAGTGAAGGGTCAATGTGAATGGGGAGAATCTGCCTCTGACACACCCATGAGTATGGGCCACACACACTGCTGTGTAACAATCATTGCAGCCTGAGGCTTTGCCTCTTGTCTCCTCAGGCCACACCTTTAGCTTAGCACTGGATCCCAGGCAACCTAAGGGGTCCGGGCAACCCGATACTCATGCCTCACTGAACAGACAGGCTGGCGGAGGTGTGAAACCTGGTCTTCTGAACAGGTGGCAGGAACAGGAGGTGTTTGTTAATGACATGGATGATGACAGCAGCAGGAATAGTAGCTGGTCCCTGAGTCTATGCTGTGTACCTGCATGTGAGCTAAGCACAGATGATTGCTTAGTCCTCACAGTAACCATACACCAAGAGTACAGTGAGTTATCACTCCTCAAAGAGTCCACCACAGCTTCTGTTCCAGCAAACTCACCCGGGATCACAGAGCCGTAAGGCGCAGAGCTGTGGGGATTGAACCACAGACCTTGACTGTTGGTGGTAAATGCGATGTCTTTAAATGTTTGAAGGACTGTCAGGAGGAAGCAGGGCAAGACCAAGACGGAGTGGATGGAGCCATTTGCCCTGTCTTTTCTGTGGTGAGGCGGGAGTTTCCTTGCTACCTCTCTTTCCCATCCACTCTCAGGGTGAGACCTGAGCTCTCCTGCTCCTCGGAAACCTCATAGTCCTCATAGTGTAGGGCCTCTTATCCTCAGGCTGAGACTGGCTGAGGCCACGTTCCCTCTCTCCCCTTCTCGTGGACTCCTTTTTCCATGAGTGTCTGGCCTTGGCCCAAGTGTCTGGCCTTTGGACCCTTCTTTTTCCATGAGACCCATCCCTGTGTCCCGCCCTCAATTGGCAGAGCAGCAGGCCAAGTTGAGTTTTCCTCTGAAACTCCCCCTGGCAAAAGCCTGGCTTGCGGAACCCCTCCAGCGGGTCTCCTCCTCCAAGCTTCCCTTGTCTGCCCACGGCAGCCGGGCCTGTCCTGTTCTGCAGTGTACCTTCTCTTCTCTCTGCTTCAAATCACTACCCCTCCCCTCCAACTCTATCAGCTTGTTCTTGAATCCCTTTCATCTTTTGCAGCCCTACTTATCACACCCTGCCAAGACACTGCCTGCCTTTTCCTGTCCTCAGGGACACTCATGTCCCTGCCTTTGGTGGGAACCAACGACCGTTCCTTCCTGTCCACTTGGTCAGCTCCATATCCTCCACCCAGAGTCCCAGGCAGTCATTCCCAGTATTTCCCAGGAGAACCCTCCCTGGCCTTTCTCTTGCCTGCCCTGTGCAGTTGGCCCTGCCCGGGCAAACATTCAGGCTGTCCAGGCCTCTTCACCTCCACCCGCTTCTGAGAGTGGGCTTGGCATTCGCAGCTTCCACTCCCCTTCTGAGGTCCCATTTGCCACCCGCTTTTCCCACTCCTTAGTCACTTCCTTCTCAGCATCCCTTGAGTTCTTACATCCTGCTAATTTCACCTGGTCAGAGATTCTGTTGGACTTTTCTAAATTAATATTAGGACTTTCATTTCACAGAGTAGAAAATTTTTAAGATTACTTCTTCTTATTATTATTATTAACAGCAGATTTACAGAGAGGAGAGACCGAGAGAGAGATCTTTCATCAGCCTGGTTTACTTCCCAAATGGCCACAGTGGGCAGAGCTCAGCACATCAAAAGTTAGGAGCCAGCAGCTGCTTTTGGGTCTCCTGTGTGAATGTAGAGTTCCAAATCTTTCAGCCACCCTCTGCTACTTTTCCAGATTATAAACAGGAAGCTGGATGGGAAGTGGAGTAGCTGGTGCGTGAACCAGTACCCATGTGGGATGCTGGCGCCACAGGTAGCCTAGCCTACCCATGGTGCTGAACCCCCTTGGAGCAGATTTTAAACTTCACCAGAGCCACACCTCTGGGCTCTCAAGCTCCACAAAATCTGTCACTGGATTGTGACTCAGAAGAAAGAGAAAGATAGCGTCAACTTACTTAACTTCCAATGTGATATTCACCTTAGTGAGATGAGACATTCCAGACCTTGGTTTAAGATGAGGAAACCACAGCAGTTAACTAGCTCAGTATCACAAAACTGATTTAAAAAAAAAACTGAAAAAAGACTGGACCCAGGATTTGAACCCAGGAGCTAGAGTGCAGAGCCTGCATGCTGCACCTGTGCACGGTGCTAAGAGCCAGGAGAACATAGCACTACCTAGCTTCTAGAAAGAATTAGAACCTTTTTTTTTTCTACTTTTTTTCTGTGAAAGGAACACACCAACATGGTGTTTCTAGAGGCAGCCTCTTTGCCCGTGATCTCGGGGAGCGTGGGTGAGGGACTTTGGAAGCCAATGAGTTGCAGGTGTCCTCGTTGGCTTCAGTAGTTGTTTAGGTCACGTGCCTGTCTTGACAGAAAGGCCGTACCTCTGCCTGGGCTAGGTTATGACTTCTGACTGTGACAGTGTAAGAACTCCCTGGGTCTGGAAGGAAGCTGTGCTCGGCCATCAGGAGCTCAGGAGCTGGAGTAAGATAGCCCTGGCTCTTGTGAGTCGACTTTGCATGCACTTAATTGACTGAATAGGTAACGTGCTTGTCTTGACAGGAAGGCCATACCTGTGCTTGGGCTAGGTTATCACTTCTGGCTGTGACAGTGTAAGAACTCCCTGGGCCTGGCGCCTTGTCCACATGTGATGTGTTACCTCTACCTAGGGTTCCCTTGCTTTATTTGGTCTTTAAGAACACTCTATCCCCATATTCTCTGTGTGATCGGCTAGGAATCAGATTCTTTGCTCCCAAATCCCTGTTTGGGTGTATATCAGAGTAAAAGCATTACTGTGGAGAATTAATTAACCATCGGAGGAATGAATTACCTTGGTATTTTTAAAGGAAGTTAAAAATCAAGTATCTTTTACAAAGCCAGGTTCAGGACTGACATTCAGCCTGGTAGGTAATATGCTGGTTGAGACAGCACAAGGTGGTTAAGCATATCACGTTGGAGTTTCGCTGCCTGACTGCAGCTTCCAGTTAATGTGGTCCCTGGGAGGCAACATTGATATTTTTAGTCGTTGGGGCCCTGCCACCCACGTGGGAGCTCCAGGCTCCAGCACAGTCCAGGGTCTGCCACGGCAGACACTTCAGGAATGAACCAGCAGATCCTGGGAGCAGTATCTGTTTGTCAAATAAACAAACATTGTAAAGGTCCTGTTGCTAGGAAAAGTAATAGTTGGAAAAGTTAATCCTCAAAGCCCTGGTGGAGGCTGGGGTCCAACACATAGCACTGAACTCATTTCATTGGCTATCTCACTAACTCAGAAAATCAGAGCAATGGACATTTTTGGTCACAGGTGGCCGGGACCACATGGGCATGCATTCTTTGTGATGTTTGAAATATTATCTTTGATGACCAACAAGAAATTTTGTTGTAAACCTGTATGCTCATGCTCTGTGGCTTTAACTTTTATTTGAGGGCCTGGAACAATTGCTCAATTGACTATCCTATCCCTGGAAGCACTGGGATCCCATATGGGCACTGGTTCATGTCCCAGCTGCTCCATTTCCCATCCAACTCCCTGCTGTGGCCTGGGAAAGCAGTAGAGGATGGCCCAAAGCTTTTGAGACCTTTCACCTGCGTGAGAGACCTGGAAGAAGCTCCTGGCTCCTGGCTTCAGATTGGCGCAGCTCTGTCCATTACAACCACTTGGGGAGTGAATCACTGGTTGGAAGATCTTCCTCTCTGTCTTTCCTCTCTGTAAATCTGACTTTCCAACAAAAAATAAAGTAAATCTTTTTTAAAAGCAACCTTTTATTTGAAAGGCAGAGTAACACAGAAATGGGCAGACACAAAGATATGTTTCATCCACGATTGACTTCCAAATGCCTGTAGCTGCTGAACTGGGCCAGGCTGAAGGCTGGAGTTGGTTACTCATTCCCCATCTCCCGTGTGAGTGGCAGGGACCGTAATGCTTGAGTCATCCCCTGCTGTCTCCCAGACTGTGCAGTAGCAGGAAGCTGGGATAGGAAGTGGAGCTGGGACGCAGGCAGCTTAGTCCTTGTGCCCAGTGTCTGCCCAACCCTGTGTTTTTTTTTGTTCTTTGGAATTTTGAGCTAAGACAGTTTACCCCAAGCACAACTTTAAACGGACCTGGGTGTGTAGCTCTGCTGTTGACTGGCCCATAGTTTATTTGGGATACAACATGTATTTATCATGTGGAGACTGCATAAGTATACCTTTGATTTTTTTTTCAGTGTTTTAAAAAAATTTCTAAGAAAATATTTTCTGAGAAAATTAAATTTAAAATAGAAATGAGGTACAGAGGTGCAGTCAGTGGAAATAGCAGGCAGTTAGGAACTGTGAGACCTGGATTCCAGCTCTGCCCTTGATGTGTGGCCTTGGGTCCATCAGGCTGGTCTGGGATACAGTTTTCCTGGAGGAAGATCTCTCCCAGCTTCCCAGCACCAGACTTCTTAGTCCCACACACCAGTGTCTTTTCCCATTGAAACAGTGACCTCTTGTGGCATATATAAATATATATATATTGCTATATATATATATTGCTATATATATATATTGCTATTTGCAAGTCAACATTGCATCTTATTTTTTTGGTTGTTTAAATTATAGTTCATATTGTTAAGCCAGTGTGACTTATTTTTCTGTGATAAATATTTGTTGGAAATCAAAAATTGGCTGAAACTGGATAGAAAGCAGCAAGCCCCGGTGCTGATCTTTGCCGCGTGGTTTCTTTGGGAACTGTGGGTGAGGGACTCCTGTCACTCCCAGCAAGAACACTCCTGGGTTTTGCGCTGAGTGCTTTGTGTGTTCCACTTCTTCCAGGGACAAGGAGAAGAGGTGTGGGAGGACCTCGGTGTCCTCCGGCAGCTGGGACCTCAGCAGGCTGGACAGCAAAGCAGGTGAGGTGCTGGTGTTTCCTGCGGTTCTCAACAGGGGATCACCCCACCTTGCAGGAACAAGTGCTTGTTGGGGGTAGGGGAGGGGTGGTGGAGCAGGTGTGTCCACTGGGGCCCTGCTGTGTGACCATGCCAAGAACTTCCCCCAGCTCGGCCACGGGGCGTGCTGATTCTTCTGTAATTTGAACACCGGTCTTGTCACTCAGATGCCTCAGACACCTGTGGATGAGAGCCTTAAGGATTTCACAGAAGTTTTGTAAAAGCATTGGCAAAGTTGCCACGTTTGATATCAATGTAATTCTTGGACTTGCAACTTGGGGTCCAAGTTGCCGCTCACTTAACTGAAGCTCCATTTACTGTATTAGCACAGTCCGTTGGAGTTCCAAAGTGGGAAGATACAGCCCACAGGCTGGAAATAACACCAAATGTATTCATGCAATTAGAAACCTGAGCTGGTGCACAAGGACAATATTGAGGGAAATGAGCTCAAAAAACTCGATGAAGAAACTAAGTTGTCAAAACAGTGGTCTGCCTTGTGGAAGACAGCTCTACGTGGCAAATATATAAAGGCAAGCACTGTAACAGTAGCCCTCCTGATTTAGCAGGGTGGTCAGGTTTTGCTTTCTTAAAATAAGGGAAAGGAGAGAAATCTGACAAAATGTACATATTTAACTGAATTAGCTGTGAGCGTACAGCTGCTTGTTATAGTTTTCCTGTCTTTTTTGTATATGTCAGATGTTACGACCCCAAAACTAATACTACATTAAAATTTTTGATTTTACAAGAGGAATTTCTTATCAGTAAAAATGATCTTTGTGGCCAACGGGGATTTCTGCAGTCGTCAAGAAAAATCTTTTTAATATCACCGATTCAATTCCAAGCTGGTATTGTTGCTAAGGATTTTACATTTACGTGCTAAAAACATCAGCCAATCCTCACATTGTGACAGGTCTGTGTGTCCGGAGCTGAAGGCTGTGGTTAACAGCTGTAACCACTGAGACAGCAAAATCTTCAAAAACATGCTGAATTTTTTTTTGCTTGACTTCCCCAATTTCCTGTTGAATCAGAATTTTTTATATTTAGCAAACCGTGAACCTAGATGAAAGTGTTTTCTGAAAGATGAGATGGCTCCCCAGGGCCCAGACTTCATGAGTGAGTGAGTGAGAGAGAGAGAGAGAGAGTGTGTGTGTGTGTGTGTGTGTGTGTGTGTGTGTGTGTGTGTCTGTCTGTCTGTCTGAACAGCAGTAGGTGGGTCCATGCCTCCATCTCTGCAGTGGCTTGGGGATGGCAGGTGAATCGGGGGGCAGGGATGGATGGTGTGTGGGAGCCAGGAGGTGAAAAAGGCTTAGCTTCCAGACGGCTACACACGCCGTTCTTGGGAGAAGATCAGAAGGAACCTCAGACCGCAGAGTCTGGCTAAGTTTTGTTCTGTTAAGAAACAAGTATGAAGCATGTTTAGCAGGACCCTGGAGGATTAACTAAACCCTTCTGTGATGTCTGGCTCACCCCTGTAATTCAGCTTCCCCAGGGCGAGCAATACGTTGATTGAATTTGTCTGCTTTCCTTATAGAGCTGTTGTTTAAAAAAGCCTCTTGCATGGAAGTTTGAAAATGCTTACTTTGAGCTTGGCAGGCTTAAAGTCTGTGTTTCTTTATTTTTTGTTTTTTAAAGATTGAATTTTTTTAAAAGATTTATTTATTTTTATTACAAAGTCAGATATACAGAGAGGAGGAGAGACAGAGAGGAAGATCTTCCATCCGATGATTCACTCCCCAAGTGAGCCGCAATGCCGGTGCTGTGCCGATCCGAAGCCAGGAGCCATGAACCTCCTCCAGGTCTCCCACACGGGTGCAGGGTCCCAAAGCCTTGGGCCGTCCTCGACTGCTTTCCCAGGTCACAAGCAGGGAGCTGGATGGGAGGTGGAGCTGCCGGGATTAGAACTGGCGCCCATATGGGATCCCGGCATGTTCAAGGCGAGGACTTTAGCCACTAGGCCACAGCGCCGGGCCCAGATTGAATTATTTTTATTGGAAAGTCAGATATACAGAAAGGAGAAGAAACAGAAAGGAAGATCTTCCATATGCTGATTCACTCCCCAAGTGGCTGCAACAGACAGAGCTGCACTGATCTGAAGCCAGGAGCCTCTTCTGGGTCTCCCACATGGGGTGCAGGGTACCAAAGCTTTCCCAGGCCACAAGCAAAACACTGGATGGGAAGCAGGGCTGCTGGGATGAGAACCGGGGCCTATATGGGGATCTTGGCGAGTGCAAGGCAAGGACTTTAGCTGCTAAGCTACCACGCCAGGCCCAGATCTGCATTTCTAATACATGGAAGTGTGTCATAAATATGTATTCCTTAAATGGATTATCTGTCTGACTTACCATCTTCTGTTTTTTTTTAACTTGATAGATGTTGGTTTTCTTCAGCTCCTTTGGTCTTTGCTTAGTTTAATTGGCTGGGAATATGGGCAAATCTGTTTTCTAGTGCTGGAATATTCTCAGTACTTTTAGAATCCATGTCCATAATTTATTGAAGTTAAGGCAAACTCATAAACTTAGAATCCAAAAGCTTGAGATGGTAGAAGTACAGTCCTTGGTCTGCAGATCTAAAACCCCAGAAGCTTAGAGGCAGAAATGTTTTATAAGCTCACGCAGAACCTCTCCTGGGCCTGTGGGAAGCCAGGTCCAAGAAAACCTGGCCAAGTTCTTGGAAAACTGGAATGAAAGGACCAAGTTTATTTTGATGCCAAAGAGAGAAAAAAGAAAAATGGTGGAATCCATGTATCATTTTTTTTTTATGGTATGCAGTTTCCATCAACTTTTTGAAGAGTCCTTGTAAAGTCTTTGTTTCACAGCTTACTGCTGGGGGGATAGATACCAGGGCCGGCCCCTGGACACTCTGCTGGAGCCCTGGGCAGCATGCAGTGTATGCACCACTTTGCCTTTCCAAAGCCAAAATGCTTCTGCTTGGGCCCCAGGGGCTTTAGGATACGGGATCATGAACACGTCCGCGTGGGGACTGGTTTTTGTTCTAAGGACGATTCAGCTTTGTCTTCTGTGATGAAATCTCGCTTATGGGCCAGACAGATGATGTGAAACCTGACTGTTAAGGTTTACAGCACCCTCACTGTTGCATAACAGTGTCATAGCCAACTGCTTCCTCTTGGCTGCAGTGTGCTCGGGTGCCCATTGTGCTCCGAACCTCCTCGAGATGGTAAAAGGCACACCTGCACATGACCCTGCCATCACCTAGTGCGCCAGCAGGCGGGTGCACCTGTACAGCTTCCCTCTCTCTCCTTGGAATTACCAGCCATGTATGCTAGGAGAAATTTCTCCTTTGTTGGTTCAAGGATTCGTTTAAGCTGTCTTTCAGATGGGTCCGTGGGCGAATGCTATTCAGGATAATCCACGGATTTCTCTGCTTTTTATACAGATAATCTAGAAGGGTCTTTAGTATACTTCTGTGGTGGAGAATTTTAACTGTATTAAGAAAATATCGGGTGAGGTAGGAGGGTGCTCGTCGTGGCCTAGCAAGTTAAGCCACTACTTGGGATGTTACCATCCCACATTGGCGTCCTAGCTACTCCCCTTAGAATCCATCTTCCTGCTGATGCATCCTGGGAGGCAGCAAATGAAACCCCAAGTGCTTGGATCCCTGAAAACAATGTGGGAGACCAGATTGGAGTTCAAGGCTCCTGATTTCAGACTGGCCGAGAACTGTCAGTTAGGAGCATTTAGGGAAGCGAAACAGTTGTGTGGGTAATCTCTCTCAGTTGCTCTGCCTTTCAAGTACATGAAAAATATACAAATAAACATTTTAAAGAGTAAGTGCTAAAATTGATATTTGTTGCAATATGCATGCATTCAATGCTTTTTGTAAGCTTTCTTCATTTAGACATTTTGGAAGGGTTCATAAAACAGATCAATCGACTGTGATCCCCAGCACTCAGAGAGGGGTGCTGTTACCTCATTTTACAGAGGAAAGGCTGAGTAACGGGTCCAAAGCTGGACACCTGCTCTTTGGCCCAGCTAAGATTCACACCCAAAAACTCCAAACCAGCATAGGCCTCTGACCAGCCTTCCCTTTTTCTCAATTAAAACAACCTGAAAATGTGCAAGTCCTATACCTGTTAACCTGTTCTCTTTCTCACTGTCCCATTCGGCTTGTACCTATGATTTCTGACTGTGCTTTCTTTGAAACAGTTTTAGGGTCAAGGCATCCACATGTAGATACTGAATTGATGCCACATCAAGCCTGAGAGGGCATTGACTGCCTGCTGTGCTGGATGCTGGCGAGAGGTTTATGGACTGGGCTTCAAATAAGAGACCCCTGCACTCGTTTCTCCCACCCAAATACTAACCAGGCCTGGCCCTCCTTAGCTTCCGAGATCAGATGAGATTGGGCCCGTTCAGATGGAATAGCAGTAGACTCCAGCAGTCCTTGCTTATGGTGCTCTGCAGCAGGCCCCTCCAGCCTTACCGCGCGTGTTTTAGATGTTGGGATGCTGACTGTGCAATGTGTATTCATGATCTGCAGTGTGTAATACAGTGTACATCCCCTCACTACTACCTCCATGTTCCCTTGCAATCTTCCATTTTGTTGCAGGACATAGCAATACAAAAGTTAAGTTTAAGGCCGATGGTGCTAGAGGACCTTGGGCCGACAACTCAAGACCCTTGGGTTCCACTTTCTCTTTCTGTAAAATAGAGACTATTTCAGGGCCCCACTGCAGTGTTGTTACAGAAGTTAAACACAGGCCTGCTGTGTGCAAAGTGCACAGCCCATGTGCTTCCCATCGCAACTTTTGCTCCTAGGAAGCACTGATTTTCAGACTTAATTTTAAAGGTTACTTGAAAAGCAGAATGATGGAAATTAGAAAGGCAGAGAAAAGGAGATCTTTGATCTTCCACCTGTTGGTTTAGTCCTGAATGCTCACACCAACCAAGGCTGGGCCAAGCTGAAGCCTGGAGCCTGTAATTCCATCTGGGTTTCTCATGTGGGTGGCAGAAGCCCAAGCACTCTGGTCTTCTGCTACTTTCCACATTAGCAGGAACCTGGGTCAGAAGCAGAGCAGCCAGGACTTCAGACCATTGCTCGGGTGCGGTGCCCTAACGTGCTGCTCATAAAGTCAGTCCCAGCGTCCACCGTTGATGACCTGGCTATGTCACACAGCATATACACCCGAGACAGTAATGGCAAGGTTGGTTGCTCAGGCAGGGAAGTTGAATTCATTGCTGTGCGGCGTTGCAAGATGTGTGGCTCTGCATTTCCATTGGTTCTTTAACTCCTCATGCCCGACAACAAATCTCTGCTGCGGGGGAAACTGGGGCTTTGAGAGGATCAGGAGTTAGATCAGTCACCCAGGAGACCCATAGTGGAGTTCCAGCGTTGTAGGGGCGGCGCCCAGCTTTATCTTGCCATCTGCACAAAGACGCTTGGCTTTAATGGTGCTGGCCTCATTCTGATGCATGGACACTATATCTCCTATAGAAACTAAAGTACTTCTAGGCCTTTTACATAGGACACTCTTCATGAGGGATTCCAAAACCTTTTTTTTAAACCTATTTTAGGTTTAACCTAAAATATTATTATTACTAACCAGTATAATAATAATAATAATAAAAAGTTCCAAACTATTTACCTTCTGGACAGTTATCAGCATTTACCCCTGTGCTTGTAAAAGTACCCCAAACTTTCTTGCAAGTTTGAACTTTGTTACCAGATCTTGTCTGAGTTTCATCGAGGGTGATTTAATTGGAAACCTGTAACTCTAATTAGAATTTGGTGGGGGGGAGGGGCGGTAAAGGACAGCAACTCAGTGTGATTTATTCATTTGATTGTGCTGTCTTACAGCTCCTTTTCACATCTCTTTCTTCCACCGTGGATGTCTTTGTTTTGCAGTCTCCAAAGCCAGCCCGCGTGAGAGGGATACTGAAATAGAAGTCGATGAAGTCTTTTGGAATACAAGGATCGTGCCGCTTTTGCGTGAATTAGAAAAGGGTAAAGAAACAGTTCTTGCTCTGAATCAGAAATGTTCATAGTTGTTTATATGCCCACCGTCCTTGTGCCCTGGTATTTTTAGTTCACTTTGTCCATCATTTCTGTGGCCGCGTTCAAAAACAACTGACATCATTTATATATGTGTATTCAATGTTACAAGTAAATTGAGATCTTAGGGAGCAAATCCTACTTTCAATGCTCCAGGAGCACCTGCTTCTAAAACTGCCCTCTTGGTACAAATTCCCTCCATCCTCCTCTGTCTTAGATGTTGGTTTAAACCCTCCTACGTGGCTGTTCCTGTTCGAGATATGGAAAGCTCGAGGCCACTGGCCTCTGTCTGCAGTAGTTGTTGCACCTGCTGGGTCAGGGTGGACATGCCCGGTCATTCCCGGAGTTCTCTGCAGTTCAGAAGCCTGACAATTTGAGTGTGAGGACTTCCTCTTCCCTTACAATCATGGATTTCCACCCATAGCATCACGTGGCCCCTTTGTTCAGAGGCAGGTTTTGCAACAAACATAGTGAGAAGAACCAGGAGTATGGGTAAGGTTCTGCAGGACAAGTGCATACGGAAACCTTTGCTTTCCATGGAATGGGGAGAAGCGATGCAGAAGTCCTCTGTCGAAGATGTCTTCCGCCTGAAGGATTTTAAATGGCAAGGGTAGGGGGATTGGTGCTGCCCCCCTGAAGCCCATTAGAGATAACTGAGGACCCCGGCAGGAGGATGTGGAATATGGAATGTGGTTGGATCTTTCACAGAAGGATGATTTGATGCTGAAGCATGGCATCTCTCTCTCTGAACCACTTTCACCACCAGAACCAGTGGCAGGGTTTCTTGACACCTTGAAATTTTTAAAAACTCTTTTTCTGTTTGGTGTGCTTTCAGACGTACAGAAAAAGAGGACAAGATTCTATGTTCTTTATCCAGACTCCAGTAATATTAACATTTTATTACATCTGTTTTGTCAGGTTCTCCCACCCCAGCTGTGTCTCTGCAACCCCCATCTGTCTATCCAACACACACAGACATTTGCTGTTTTGTTTTTTGAATATATATTGCCAACATATGTTGTCCCATATCCCCAAGTACTTGGTAACTTTTGATGACATGTTTGTGTGTATATATATATGTGTGTGTATATGTGTGTGTGTGTGTGTGTGTGATCACATATTACTAAGCAAATCCTACTCAGGATTAACCAGTTGTCCACTAAACATCTCCCTGGAGAAAAGGAAAATCATGAATGATCTGTTCTCATCCCCAGTGGTTCATGACTGAGCCGAGGGAACCATGTGTGTGACACACTGTCCCACAGATTAGGTTTGTGTAGGGGAGTGAGGTGCAGGCTAGGCATGGGACCACGTGTGTCCCTCAGTGACCTGTGACCATCTTAGTAGGCACATCATGCTGATTGGTTCCGTGACTTCTGACAGCAACAGTGTTCATGTGGATGAGGTGGCATCTGTCAGGTCCATCCACTGTAACCAGTTTCCCCCTTTTGTAGCTAGTAAGTGTCTCCTGGGAAGCGTTATTCTGAAATGGTGGTGTTGTTTATCAGATTTCCAGCCAGTAGTGTTAACCACTTGAGAATTTTTTTAAATGCTTATTTATCTTGAAAATCAGAGCAGCAAAGGGAGGAGAGACAGGGAAAGATCTTCCATCTGCTGGTTTACTCCCCCGATGGCTGCAACAGCCAGGGCTAGGCCAGGCAGAAGGCAGGAGCTTCATCCAGGTCTCCCATGTGAGTGGCAGTGGCCCAAGCACTTGGGTCATCTTCTACTGTTTTCCCAGACCGTTAGCAGGGAGTTGGGTTGAATGTGGAGCAGCTGGGATATGAGCCAGCATCCACACGGGTGGTGACCTTACCCACCACATCCCAATGCCAGCCCTGTCACTCAAGAGTCATGATTGGGCTAAGACTCAAGTTATCTTTCAAGGCTACATGGCATTAATAACGAACTCATTGGCACAAAGGATTAACTTGACCAACAGCTTAAAATTTCACTTTTGGAGCTTCGCATGTAAAACAGTCTCTCTTGGAGAACTGAGCAGGCTGAATCCTTTGTGAAGGAAGTGTCAGGAATCTACCATAAAGATGACCCCCTGGCCCTGAGTGACCCTGGGTCTGGATTTAGGCCAGAAGAAGAAGTTCCAGCAGTCACAGAATTTAGGGGAAAAAAAAAAGGCAACAAAAACCAAAACACCCCACACAATAGAATTCAAGTATTCAAGTTTCCCCCTTTATTTGCAGTCAGTCTAAGTCATTTCCCATCCATTCATGTATTGAAGCACATCGTTGAAAGGCATTGAAGGTTGCTTAGCTATTGAGGCTAAACATTTTTTCCTTTCCTTAGATGTTATTGTTGGGAAGAGCTAAAAATGGCCCATGGTTTCCATCTGTAGGTACACGCTTCCTCCAGGCTGTCTTCTAAGAGCACACGGATGGCATGTCTTCAAGACTGGTTCCTGGCTTGTGGGTTTTGAATGGGATCTCTAGGAGGGAATATATTTCGACAGAACCCCTTACATCTGAGGTTCTTGCATTCCACACTCACGGTCCTTCTCTTCCTTGTGTGCCCATTAGCCTGGCGACTTCCGGTCACCAGAGTCGGTGGAATGTTCCAAGTCTCCATTTTCTACTAGAATTTTTTTTTTTCAGAAATTCTTCTCTAATAACCACCTCTAATTTGTGGTGGATTTGATAATGTTTGGGGCTTTTGTTTAGCGGAGTTCTCTTTTCTCAAGTGATGTGCACTACCTTCACAGGAAAAAAAAAATACAGATCACTTTTTCCATCGACAGATTATTAGAAAATTGGTATTGTGACTTTAAGTGACAGATTGAATTCACACTGTGCCCAGTGCTGTGGACACATAAAAATGTAACCCATCATTCCTTGTCACTTCATAAGACATGTGTTTGAAGGTACCAGGCATGTAACTAACAACACACACACACACACACACACACACACACACACACACACACACACACACACACACACACAGGCATACAAGGTGCTAATTGCTGGATGTGCCTTAGTGTATGTTTGCTGGAGGAGCCAGAGCATATACAGAGCATGAAGGACCAATCCTGGCAGAGAAGGAGAACATTCTAGACCTGTGGTGGAGCCAGCTGGTGGTTTGCCTCCACAAAACTGAGCAGAGCGCAGATGGAGGTAGAGAACATTTGGCCCAAAGGAGATCAGCGGAAATAGGCATAGTTTCTGTCTTTAACACTCCCTTTGAAGGACTGTATTCTAGATAAGCTTACTGATTAGTCAGTAAGTCCTCCCAATAGGAGACGGATCAAAGACCTGGGGAAAAAAAGTTAGGTAGATGGAAGTGATAAGAAGAAAAACAGAGTTCGGGAATTTGAAGGTGTCTGGGGAAATGCTCCTGTGGGGGGAGGGGCTAACTGCATGGCAAATGTCTGTGTTTGGCCCACCTGGCAACTTAACCATGGCTAGTAAGTGTTGCTTTACTCTTTTTGCTCTGACAGAAGGGAACATTGAAAGCATCTGTGCTGCTTGCACACAACTGCATCTCGCTTTAGAGGAAGGAAACCTGCTTGGAAATAAATTTCAGAGAAGAAGTGTCCTCCTGAAGACCCTGTATAAACTAGTTGATGTTGGTTCAGACTTACTCAGCCTTAAACTTGCAAAAATTATTCTAGCAGTAAGTGTTTCTTTCCTCTAGCCTAGTAGACCGTGGCGCCTTACAGCTTGCTTTCATGTTTTGTAACGACGACGAGGGTTGTGTAGAACCTTTGGGGTGGGGGAGGGAGAGGAAGGTAGTGAACTGACATGGCGGAGTTTGACTGGAAGAGATCCATCGAGGCAGCTGAGGGTGAGTGCCTAGAGAGTATTTCAAAGAAACTGACCATTTGGAACCTTGCATGGGTGAGAAGGAAGAAATAGCTGTAAGCACATGAGTACAAACAGTTACTCAAGAACTGGGACCAAGATGCATGTCTAGTGGTCCAGTGGTGCAGGCTCTGCTTTCTGCCTTACAGTTCCTGCTGGGCACTTGATTTTTGTCCTAGTATTTAATGAATAACCTGAAGTCATTTGAGCATTGATACAATGGTCAGGTGCTTTATGAACCGGTGGGGGGCGGGGAGAGAAGCAACGAAAACTCACACAGCTGCAAGAGATGAAGACTTGCATAAGGTGTTGGAAGAGTTTGCCTGGCAATAGCCTGTAGGAACTCCATCCCCAACAAAGCGGCACTGTTGCTGTCAGAGGAGTGCTGTATTGTCCCAGCCAGCAACAGTTGGAACCAAAAGATAAGCCGCACTGATTACAGAATGTTCTGAGATAGCCGCTGGTCACAAATGAATGCAGCTCTGTTCCCCTGGTTTCCCTTGTGTTAACACTCCCGTAGCCTTAATGTGGAACCGGCTTCAGTACATGGCGAAGGTCGGGGTTGGCATGCTTAACGGCAGTTAAGCAAGAGTGCATCCCGTGTCTCACTTCAGACACCCTGACTAGGCTATCAGTGTCAGCTGTGGAGCCAGGCCACTTGTTGATTTAAGCTGTCATGCTAAACAACCCACTGCCTTTTTCAAAAACCAGGACTCAGAATGTAGACTTTCTCTCTGTCTCACACCTGAGCACTGCACGTGTAGCTGCCCCAAGCAGGACCCAGGCTGCCAACTGCCCCGGAATTGCCTTTGCTTCTTCCTCCAGGTCCCAGGTCGCTTGCTTCATTACAGGCCTGCCAAAGAAAGACAAGAGTGTGGGCCAGCCAGCCCTGTATTCATCCACACTTTGCACGGAAATTACTATCTTAGGTATAAATGGTGGTGTTGGAATTAATTATATACATGGTATACAGTTGAACCGTTTGAGGGCAAAAGGCTAAGTGCTCTGCCAGGCGGTTGAAAACATTCTGAACTAGGCACATGATGGCTTAAAAGCCTTGTCTGTGACGTTGACTGCCTTGCTGGATCTCAGGGCCAGCTCTAGGCCAGGCTCCAACAGTGCAAGGTAGGCTAGGTTGTGTTACACAGCATTAAGGTCCGAAGAGGTTCAAGAAGTCTCTTTCCAGGCAACACCCATATGGAGGTGAGATTTTGATTTAAAAACCAAGAAAGCCATTAAAGTAAAACAAGCAAACAAACAACCTAGGCCAAAGGCAAGGTACATGGGACTGAGACGTTTTTAACAACTGACCTTATCTGTGGATAGGTCTTTCCTCCTTAATGCTGTAATGCAGGCATTTAAACTACTTAATAGTTAATAACAGTGCACATGTTAGCTGTTCTGATCTCTCTCAGTCACTTGGGAGCTTGCCTAGCAGCTGCTTTAATTTTAACCTTTGTGTCCAAAAACTGTGGCAAAAATATATCAGTCTGTGTTCAGCTTGCTCTTTCAAAGGGTTTAAATGTATCAGTGCCTGTGTGCCCTGTTGCTGTAGATTGGCTAAACAGCTGTTATTCACACAGGGAAGGAAGTTGCCCTTCTGTGAGAACCTGCCTGGTGCCAGGGATTCCTCCTGAGCCCAGGAACGCCAGCAAATAAAGTAGCTCCTGCACCCAGAACCCACCACTTCCGCCACCAGTGACACATCAAGGACCAGAGGGATCCACACCCGCCCCAAGGAAGCACCAAAACGATGGAGTGAGGGAAGATCCCAGCGTGTGATCTGTTAGGGTTTTCATGTCTGGAAGCCAGAAAGTTTTTGGGCATTAGTGGATAGCTCAGAACAAGTTTGCTCTGAATGTAAATATGCCATCCTCCATAGAAACAGAAAATTGTTTTTTTTGGTTTTTTCATTTCTTTTTCTTAAAACCTCGATGAGCGGTCTGACACTAGACTTATGTTTTCTGTTAAAAATGTGAGACTTGAGAGAGGAGAGAGGTTGGCTGTGGGAGGGGAGGTGAGCGGTGAGTTTGCTTATTCCTCCGCTTGTTCATTCATTCATGCAACAGGTTGCAGTAAGTGGAGGCCACATGCCAGCCAGCACAGGTAGAAAGAGTTGCTAGTTATGAGTTAGTCCTCAGGGGCTTGGAACCCAGGGCAGGACAGCCAGCTGGTTCAGCTACTTCCCTGTGTCTTAAGGACCGTGAGCCCTGTGTTTCCATGGGCATGCACTGTGCTTTTTTGTTTTGTTTTGTTTTCCTAAATTGGTTTATTTTCTGGGTTTTTTGAAATAATATTGTTTTAAATACCCAATCATTGCATATATATGAGTATATTATATGTACATATACACCCAGTTATTGCATATGTGTATGTGTATATGTATATATACAGTCAGTTATTACATATATATGTGTGTGTATATATGTAGTAAAGCTCCCCACAAGTTTTCCTTGTGTAAACAGGACTGCATTCAGCATTGAGTCACCTATAATAAGGTTGCTCTCAAGCTAAAATGCACAGGCAAATCCCCATCATGAGGGCTTGGTAAAGCAGCTGGGGCTGGGGGCCTGGGAGTCTGCATTCCCAAGGCATGCCCAGGTGATGCCCGGACAGTCCTGTGACCTAGTGCAGGGCAGACATCTCCACTGCCAAGTGCCAAGGACTGCTCCTGATTCCCAGGCTTGCCCTGAGGTCACATCCGTGGAGGCCGCCTCTGCCCCCCAGCCTGGGACTCAGCCACACCCCTCTTACTGTCCCCTGGGGGAACCGTGTATTGCCTGCCACATCGGGAGGTGCTCAGTGAATATCCATGGTTCAACTGCAGACTGAATCCTCAGCAAAGACCTCCAGCTGACAGCAGGGTCATTTTTTTAAAAAACGGAAACCTTATCAATAAATTATATTAAAGGATAGTTTAAAGATGGTTTTGAATCACAGATCCCTTTCATACAGGAAGAGTTAATGGTTCCAGTGGCCTTATTACCCCAGCATGACTTCTTACGCTATTGCAACGAGAGCACGTGACACTCCCATGTAACAGGAGCTCATAAACATTGTCCCCTTTTCAGCCATATGATTTCACAGATGCTTTTGTGATGACAATATTGATATTGTACCATTCAACTGTGCTGTAATACTGGATGTGGAGGGTTTTTAAAAATTTATTTTTACTGCTTTAGGTCAATACACAGCTTGTTTACACCATTGGCTTAGTTATCCCTAGCTACGTTATTCTTAAAAATCTGTCTTTCCTTGTGGCCCCCATGCTTCAGTTACTTAGCAAGTGACTTCACTGTGTGATTTAGAAATTAGTAAATGAGTTTAATCTGAAGATTTTGTTACCCTTGTGTTTTAAAGTGACCCCTTGTATTGTCCTTATCACTCTTAAGTTACTGATAACTTCACACGTTAAAGTGAGACAAAAAAAAGAAGTGGTTGCTACTGTAATATTCTTAGTCTCCCCCAATCATTTTAATGGTATTTAGTGATAACTGAGATAATTGGATACCAGGGCTGACAGATATGTACTGTGAATTTCCTGAAATTGATTTCGTTGGAGCTGTTTAAAAAGTAGTCATCCTATAATTTGAAAGTCAGTGTTTGTGTTCAAGCAAAAGGTAACCTGTCTTTATTTTCCTCGGTGGTAGAAATGTGTTTTGTCTCTCTGCAGCTTAAAGTGAGTAGAAAGAATCTCCTGAACGTCTGCAAGCTTGTATTTAAGATTAGCAGGAACGAGAAGAATGATTCTCTGCTGCAGAATGACAACATTCTCGGTGAGTGTCATTTGGTGCCACCACTGAGCCGATGGGACACTCACCTACAGGTCACAATGCTGAGAACGGCTTCTTTGCTTCCTAATAACATGCAGAAGGGCCGTGATGTTTATTTCTGCTCTATCCTTCTCTGTGTTTCACATGTCTGATTATTGCATCCTTTGGGGCCTCGTGTGATAGTCTGCCTTAAAAAATAATAGTGGCCTATAGTAAAACATGCGGTTTTAGAAAGTGCTAGGTAAAAATTTCTTTCCTGGACTTGGATTTACTTTTCTTTTTCTCTTTAATTTTCTTTATTGTTGGCAATCTTTACATGGTTAATTAAGGCACAAAGGTTCAAGGACTACAGGAAAGTGGGTAAGACTATTAATTTCTACATTCTCTTTTTTTTTTTTTCTTTATCTTGAGTATCTTGAGAGAAGCCCCACCCAGCCTCCCATCCATCCCAGGTCTCCCAATATGGATACCTGGCACCACAACAGAGGACAGAACTAATCAATCAACTACCCCAGCCATATGTTGGGAAAAACTGGTCAGAGACTCTAAGGTGGACTATGTCAGTCAATGGATTCTGCAGTGACTTCATCGTGCTTGGAGTGGCAAGACTGGCAGCAGTTCGTAACTGTTGAACTACCAAAACCACTTGAGCAAGACCCTTAGCGCATACCCCACACCGGATTTACTTTTCGAAAAGTGCACCTGGGCTGGGTTTTTGGTGTAGCAGTTAGATTCAACTTGAGATACCAGCATCTCATATTTTGGAGTGCCCACTCCCACTCCACTTGCAAGTCCAGCTTTCTATGGATGTACACCCTGAGGACAGCAGTGCTACAAGCTCAAGTACTTGGATTCCTGCCACCTTCATGGAAAATCCAGATTGGGTTCTGGGCTCTTGGCTTTGGCCTGGCAAAACCCTGGCTGTTGTAGGTGCTGGAGAGGTGAACCAGTGGGTAGCAGAACTCTCTATCTCTATTGCTTTGATTTTCAAGTAAAAATAAATAAATAAAATTTGAGAACTATAGCTAATAGTACAGGATACTTTAACAAGCTTATGGAAAAGTAGAATTTAAAGAATGAGTTGATTTTGGTGCAAAAGAATTTTGTAGTCATTTCTCACAGATTCTAGAAAATATTTTATCCACCAGAATAAGCTCATACTTTTAATTCTGTTTTCCACAGACTTAATGAGAATTCCCTTGTTGTTACCGTAATGGAAACTGTTAGTCTTTCGATATCATAGTGATGACTAAAAATTGAAAGATGTCCGTAACTGTTGGATAACTGAAATCTGAGACGAAAATATTTTTAAAATATAGTAGGGAAGTTTGGTTACTTATTGCCTAGCTACCTGGCTAGTAATGGTTCTTGACATACCCCTAAATAACTAAGATGCTTAAATAATCACCTAATCGGAAATCTTGTATTGTGAATTCATCTTACTAATTCTAGAGAAGGTAGCAACATGGGAAATATGTTGAGGCCTCTTGTTGCAAGGTAGGGTAAGTGATCTCTCCATTTTTTTGGTACCCTTGCGGGCAGGGACACGTCTGGTACCCAAGGAGATATATAGCACTGAGTTAGTTCATTAAGAACAGCAGACTGAAAGTAAAGAAAGAATGTGAAAACCGATCCTGCTGACATTAATGAAATGTGGTATATGTGTCATTCACCTTTCAAGAGTTTAAAGGGTCAGTTCTAGAACCTAGCAGTCATATGGCAGTTTGTGTGAGTGTCCCCAAGTTGCCATTAAATTGTCCTTTCTGTAAATGTTACTTTCCTTAAAGTTCTTATTTTTAATTTCTCACACAGCAACAAATCTCTTCAAAGTTGGCTGAATTTTCACTTTCGATGCTTTAATTATTAGCATTCTCTGACAGCTCTACATTTGTAAGCAAAGTAAATCTTGATAAATTGGCATCATGGTTACATGTCTGTGTCTTTGCTGTGATGCCAATGTGCAAGCTCTTTAATATTTCTCCTGTTAGACATTTATGACAATTTGTCTTTTTTGACAGAATCACTGCTGGAGGTGCTGAGAAGGGAGGCCCTGCAAGCCAACACTGAAGCTTTCTTATACTGCATGGGGGCCATCAAATTTATTTCTGGAAACCCGAGATTTCTCAATGAAATGATCAGCAGAGGTGCTGTGGAAATCTTGATGGATTTAATCAAGGAAATCAACGAGAACACCATGAAACACGGTGTGTGGATGCCTAATGTGGGCCACTTGCTAGTCCAGGTGCGTGCTTGACCTGAGAAGGTTAGATGCGAGATCGGTTTCCATGCTGACAGCAAGCAGCACTTAAAAGGATAACAGGAGTTGAGGGGTCTCTGCAGGCAGGCAGACACGATGCCTGGCTTCAGGGCTCCACCCACAGCCGCCATGCCACCTGTGCCCCATGGAAAGGCGAATCCACACACAGTTTTCCATGCAGCTCATTCTCCCTGCCTCAAAAAGAGATCAATCCTTAAAGAAGGAAAACGTTGCCCTGGTTTGTTGAACAGTCATAGACCATGGTGGGAATTGTGGCAGGTGTCTTGTTGAGTTTCAAAGACAGGTTCGTTGGCAGGTCTTGTGTCACAGACAGAAGTGAATGGTGCCAAGCAGGTCATTGTTGAGTGTGTGGACAGTGTCCAGGCCTGGAAAGGCAGGTAGCAGAAGGAACACCTTTCATCTGTCTAGAGCAGACACAGAAACTGCTCTGTGCTAGACTTTATGACTTCTTGCATGGCAGATGAAGTTTCCTTAGTTAGATTATTTTATTTTTATTGGTGCTGCTCTGACTGTCATATTCTTTCTTGAGATGAGATTTTACTATTTAATAGCATTTGCAGGTCTGATAACAGCATTTTGGATGTAGTCATTCGTGGGGTTTGGAACATGCTTGTCAGTTGGAGATAGCTGGATGAATACTCTGCCTGCTCTAAGACACCAGGCAGGCATGCTTCAAATCAGATTCAGACTGCCTTCAAGAAGCTTAAATATCAATGCTATGTGTTAATTCTGGACTTTGGGCCTGTCTCTGTTTTGAAAGAAAATTGTGAAAACCTCTTCCAGTTGTAAATGATGTGCAGTTACATTCGTGCATTGTGTTTAGGTGGAGGAGTATTTAAGCCACGTTGTTTTCACTTTACCTTTGTGAAATCAGTCAACTTCATCACTGTCATAAAGAGACTTACTTCTGTTGCTTTAATAATTTTACAGCTAGTCAAAATGTGCGAAGAATACAAAAATCACCTTAACTATTTTCACTCTGAGATAACAGGTGAACAGAACTTTTCGGTGGCCGTTTCTGGCGGTGTGCATGACGTGTTAGAATTCTCGCTTTTTAACATGTGGCCTTGTTTTTTTTTTTTTTTAAGATTTACTTATTTATTTATTTATTTTTATTACAAAGTCAGATATACAGAGAGGAGGAGAGACAGAGAGGAAGATCTTCCGTCTGATGATTCACTCCCCAAGTGAGCCGCAATAGCTGGTGCTGTGCCAATCCGAAGCTGGGAACCAGGAACCTCTTCCAGGTCTCCCATGTGGGTGCAGGGTCCCAAAGCTCTGGGCCATCCTCGACTGCTTTCCCAGGCCACAAGCAGGGAGCTGGATGGGAAGTAGAGCTGCCAGGATAGAACTGGCACCCATGTGGGATCCCGGTGCGTTCAAGGCTAGGACTTTAGCTGCTAGGCCATGCCGCTGGGCCCGCCTTGTTTTTAATAGTTGCTATCATTTATTCTCCACCACTCTCCTTCCCTCTCATTTCTCCCAGAAGTATTTATTCTCTCTGATGTTCAGTGTCTTGTAAAAGGTTTTCAAAAGTGGAATATGCTGGACATTTCTCTTTCCTCGCTTAGCAGTGTGGGTAAAAACCTCATGCAGCAACTCTGGAATTGTTTTATTCCTCTTGGATGCTGACGTAATACTCCAAGATAAGGATATAGCTCAAATTGCCAGTCATCCCCATGGTAAAATATTCCCTCTGTTTTCATACAGTGTTTATGTGGTTGCCTCTGTGATTCTGATTGGTTAACAAGCTCTGGCTAGCTCATTTACCTTATGCATGCATGTGCGTGCACACACAGTATCTGTATGCAAGCAGCTGGCGTCAAGGAGCGTTAGACCTTCTATGAACAGCTCAGGTCTTAGCGTGCTAGATGAATTTGACAAAAGCGCACAACCATGTAATTCACATTTCCATCAAAAAGAAAAAAAAGCAAAAGAACAAAAACAAAACCAACCCAGTGGATTTCTATCATTTCCAAAATTCCCTCCCATCTCTTCTGTTATTCTTACCACTCTTACCCCACGGGATTGTTTTTTTATTGTTGTTGTTGTTGTTGTTCTGATCTCTTTCCATGGATAAGCACTACCCATTCAAAAATTTAACGTAAATGGAACATACAGTGTGAACTTTGTATCCGGTGCTTTAAAAAAAAAAAGGCAGAAATGTTTTTTATTTTAAATTAGGTGTGGATTCATAAGACATTGCAAACAGAGTACAAAGAGGCCCCAGGCACCCAGCACGCTGCTTGTGTTGTGTCTTCCATAACTATATGATGCGATCAAAATCAGGAAATATGGGTGCAATACAGGAAGCTAGAGCACCATACTGGCTCATTTGGCTTAGCCTTTCTGTTTGTCACCATTTTTGGTTTTGTCCATCAGGAGGCCTGCTGAGTTTTTCTTCACCATATGTTTGTTAATGGGATCGGGGCAGCTAAGTGTCCCTTCCCCAAAGGGAATTTCCAGTAGTGTCCCCAACCACTCACTTAGTCCCCCTGCTTTAAAAGAGTGGGCTCTCAGGGCCCAGGGCCTCCCTTCTCCCTGGGGAAAAAGCTACCGTAGGCAGCACCTGCCCTCTGGGTATCTAGGGACTAGATGTCTGAAGATCTGACAAGGATTTGGGAGCCCAGAGGTGCCACACTTGGTTTTGAACTTCCAGCCAAGGCTCAAGAGGACAGGGAGAGGATGCAGGTTCTCACTATGGCTGGAGTATCCAGCCTCCAACTGAGTGGGTGTTTTTTTAACAGCATCCAGCCTCCACCCCATCTTTGACCTGTGCACCTGCTCCAGGCCATGAGTGTCCACAGAGCAAAGGAGATCACCCTGTGTTCTGATGACAGCTCCTGTCTGATGAGAAGACCCTTGGAGGGGCAGGATGGAGCAGGGCGGGGCAGTGTAAACTCACCAATCAGCAGTCTGGGGTGAGGGAACCCAGGAACTTTTTGCGGAGTAGCAGGGAGGAGCTCTCTGTCCTAATTAATGTTATGACCGCTAACCTGTGATGACTTGGTCCTCCTCACTCCATTCTCTTTTTTAGCCCCCTTTCTTAACTGGTATCTGTATCCTATCTGTATCCTTTATATGACATTCAAAATCTCTCCTAAAGTGATACAGTTGAGTATGATGGCTATATCTAGAGTAGTCTACACCCTGCTTACTTGGCCAAGGTAATGGACCAAGAAACTGGTAGGTAGGTGTCACCCAGAGTATCAAAGTGGGGGATTGGGCTAGGAGGAGGACAAATCTGCTTCCTGCTCAAGCAGGGGGCCAACGGGAAAACTGCCAAACTTGCCAGGCCCCAAGTAATCTTGGGGATTAAGGAGTGATACCACTTCCATAGGCACATCTCTTGCCAAACTCTAATAAACTGTTCAGAAACTCTGTCCTGGTGATTTCATAGCAGCTTCTCACCACTGGTTTCTTTTGTCTCCTGCAGAGCTGTTCTCACCATGTATGAGACAATGTGAAGCCTCTGCATTATTCACTTGATTTCTGCTTTTGGTATAGATGTGATCTCATGGGGGCACAAATCCAATCCCAGCATGTGCTTTTATTGCTGGAGGTGGGTGTGGTGAGTGGGGAGATGGTTGAGCTGAGGTTGGAAACTGATGTGGCTTTGGTCTTAAATCGTTGGACACAGTTGAGATCCCTGGAGGCTCTGGGTATTCTTTCCCGTCATCAGCAGGAAGGGAACCATTTTGCAGATGACATTTAAGTGAAACTAAAGCCCAAGGGATTGGGGTTATGGATATTCCACACGATTGAGAAATATTAAATGAATACATTTTAGAGGCACATGCCAAAGAGGATGAGAGAGACAGTAGACAAGAGGCCAATGACCCAGGAGGCCAGCGTACCCGAAGCTGGTGGCCTTTCTCAGCCTAGTATGAAAAATGAGCACCTGGGTGCTGACTGTGTCTGCAGTGCCAGAATCCCATTTGGCCATTGGTTCGAGTCCCAGCTGTTCCACTTCCAGTCCAGCTCCCTGCTAATGCTCCTGGGAATGCAGTGACAAATGCTCTAAGTGCTTCAGCTCCTGTACCCATATTGGAAACTCAGAAAACCGCCCCCTGCTCTTGGTTTCTAACTGACTCATTCCATCAGACCATTGTGGCCATTTGGAGAGTGAACCAGAGAATGGAAGTGCACTCTCTCTCTCTCTCTCTCTTTCAGTTTTTTTTTCTCTCTCTGTCTCTGACTTAAGTAAATAAATAAATCTTAAACAAACAACCAAAAACCCTCTGCACTTGATACCTTCCTTGCCTACTTCATGGGGTCTTTAGAAAGCAAATCTAAGTTCTTGAGATAGTTTAAAAGACATGAAATTACTGCTCATGTTATTTGAATAAAAGCATTCAAAATAAAAAAAAGTCAATACTACTTTTGCTTGATGAAGCATAGCAACTTGCAAAGCATTAATGATACAGGCTTCTTTCTTTGTTTCTCTTTCTTTTTTTTTTTCTCTTGAGTATTGACTTTGAAATTCAGAGTTACAGAGCCTGGTGCAGTGGCCTAGTGGCTAAAGTCCTTGCCTTGAACGCTCCAGGGTCCCATATGGGCGCTGGTTCTAATCCTAGCAGCTCCACTTCCCATCCAGCTTCCTGCTTGTGGACCGGGAAAGCAGTTGAGGACAGCTCAAAGCCTTGGGCCCTGCACCCGCATGGGAGACCCAGAAGAAGTTCCTGGCTCCTGGCTCCAGATCGGTGCAGCGCCAGCTGTTGTGCTCACTTGGGGAGTGACTCATCAGACGGAAGATCTTCCTCTCTGTCTCTCCTCCTCTCTGTATATCTGACTTGGTAATAAAAATAAATAACTCTTTAAAAAAAAAAAAAAGAAATTCAGAGTTACAGAGCGAGAGAGGGATAGATTAGAGATTGATCTTGCATTTGTTGATTCATTTCCCAGATGGCCAAAATGGACCAGCTCTGAGCCAGGCCAAAGCCAGCGGCTGGAAGCTTTATCCAGGTCTACCGTGGAGGTGCTTGTGACCCAAACACTTGGGCCGTTTTCTGGCATGTCTCCCAATCCACTAGCAAGGAGCTGAACTGGCAGTTGAGCAGCCAGAACACAAACCTGTATCCATGTAGGATGATGGAGCCACAGGTGTCAGTCTTACATAATGGTACAGTTTTTAGTTGTGTTATGTTTCAATTTTTTCTTTGAAAGCTGTTTTAAGTTGGGAAAATGTTTTTCTCAAGAGTAATATGATGATTGATGGTGACGTTTCTAGGCTGACCCTCCAAGCCCAAAGTTTCTAAGCATTTTTTGGAGTTTGTTGAGATATGTACATATGAAAGTTGGCTCTGTATGAAAACCTGTTTCATTTCACATACACCTAAACAGCAGAAAGGCTGCAGTCCATTTCACATGCATCTGAACAGTCCAAGGCCCTGTGATCTGGAGCAGTGCTGCTGGGTGTCTGGCTGGCTGCCTGCTTGGGCAGAGTCTGGGGAGTCCCCTGGGAAGTGAGCACTGGTGGGAGCGACGTGCAGAGGGGAGAAGGAGTCAGCTGGAGAGATGGGCACGGGCTCGCATCTCCCAGGCAAGCCTCCCCGCTCACTCCAGACCCCCACTTGTAGGAGCTGGGGTCACAGCCCAAGGTGCTCAAATTCCAAGAGGCCCCATATTTTGAAACAAAGGGTTTTGTGCATTTGCTAAGGTATTTCCATTGAGAATTGCAACTCTGAAAATCCCAAATCTGAAATTTTGCAGTGGATGTTTAAAATATCAGGTGCAGTTTCTCTGAGGCTATGTGTGGAAGGTGTCTGTGAGACACAGATGAACTTTGTGGAATTTTATGTGTAGATTCGGGATCCCCCCTCCAAGATATCTCATTATGTATACCCAGAAGGAAACATGTGACATGTGAAAGTGTGAAATTCAAAACACGCTTGATCCCATGTATTTTGGGGTAAGGGATACTCAGCCTGTTATTGCAGAAAATTTAAAATGTATAGTGAACTATCTGTCAAAAACTGTAAAAAATAGATGCTGCATTTTCTTGAGTTCCAATGTCATCATGCTGAAGTGCTGTGTGAGCCTTTACAGATAATCCATTCTCTTAGTGGTATATTTCCCTTTAAGATGTCGAAGGAGCAGTGACAACTTTGAGATCCCATAAATTCCATATGAGACCAGCAATTTTGCCATCTTTCCCAGGCATTTCCCTTAATAGAGGGCAAACCCCTTGGGGCGTAGGAATTTGGAAACCTTGGAGAGAAGCTGCCAGGGGTAGCAGGGATGCCACTGTGGCTGCCCAGGGCAGCCCAGGCACCTTTGAACAGATTCTTGACCTGAACTACAAATCAGTCAAAAATTCAGATTCCCTTTTTCCAGACATCCTCTAATACCTGCTGACAATCAAGGACACTCACATTTTGATTAATGCTCTTTGCAGATTGTCAGTTTCATTTTCATTTCAGTTTTCTTCCCGTATCAGCCCCACAGGACTGTGAATTAAGAAATGGGGAGAAATACAGGTTGAAATGTACGCTCTTGAGTGTGCTGTTTCTTGGTGAAATGACACTGAAGAGGCTGGGAATTGCTCCAGGAAGGCTTTTAGATGCTGAACAGGTGTCTTTGTGTTTAACTTATATTTTACGCATATACACACATATGATTTAAGATGGCTTAGAAGATGATACACGATAAAAGAGGGAAATGGGTGTTCAGGGAGTTAGGAAAAGTACAGATGAGAATAGGGAGATAAGAGAGACGTGGACAGTTTTTGCAAGCCTGAACTTGGGCTGGCTCACTCCTGCTTTGGGGGCAGGGTGGAAAACCAAGCCTACCCCAGGAGCAATTTCTACAACTTGTCTCTCTCTGCTCTGTTCACTCAGTTCCACCAAGAGTTCTCATTGAGTAAGGTTCTGAGTGAAGTAGCTTGACCTGCATCTCCCCTTCCCTGTGACCATACCATGTCTTCTCCCGCTCCAGGCACATCTCAAAACAAAGCCATAGACCCACAGGGAAGCTGGTGGCTCGCACACAGGTGGCACCTTCCGGAGCTGCTTCTGCCAGCGCACCTTTTCCTGGTCTTGGCCCCTGGGGCTTTGAGCTCACCCTACCCAGGTCTCTGCTACCACCCTGCACTTTGGTGCCAGACGCTCCTTCAAGGGCAGATCTCCCTTTGTTGGCTCTCTGTCTCTTCCTCTCCTCTTCTGCCTATTGTCCCCGAAGTGTAAAGATGAGTAAGGGATGGTGTCCACCAAGCAGCTGCAGACCTGTGCTTCTGGGCCACTTCCAGCAGGTGCTATGCAGGATGTGAACATGGTGGTTTGTCAGTACGGAGGCTGAGGCAGGGGGGCTGACCACTGAGCAGGCTTCACAGGGAAGAGAAAGGTGGTGGGGCAGGGTAGAGGAGAAAATTCTGGGTGGCCAGATATTCTGCCCTGTTCAGAGGTGTGAACATGGGGGAGCGTGAACTCTGAATGCTGGCCTGTGGTGGGGTCAGGGTGAAGAGGAGGAGGTTCAGGAAGGGAGCTGGGAAAAGTGGACTGGACTAAAGAGAAGGGCAAAGCTGCTCACGAGGGCCTCAAAAGTCCAAGGAGGGCTTTGAACAGTGAGAGCTGGGCTTGGAGATGCTTCCCCTGGTGGCAGCAAGTTCAGACAGACAGGTGCAAGAAGCTCCAGCTCGACTTGGTCGTGTGTCTCCCATTTGCTACACCCTGACTGCAAACGGGGATGATAACCCTTGTTTTGCACGGGTGAGACAGTGATGGCGTTGAGGAATGCGGGATGGGAAGGGCAGGGAGCACTTGAGCTCTGTCATTGACCCTGGCTTTAGAGAGGTGCCACAACAAAGGTGGAAATGTGCCTGTGAATGCTGAACCCCGAGCCACTGGCACCAGCAGTGCTGGTCACTTGGACCATAGACAATGTTCACCACTCCAGTACAGGGAGTACCACCTGTGCTTCAGTGGGGAGAGCATGTGTGCTCTGGGCAGTTAAGACACTCACCCGGGTAGTGAGTGTGTACCATTCCACGTGGAGGGCTCACAAATTGGATCTTAAAATCATCCGATGACAGCAGCATTGCTTTAACAGATATCCTAAATTGACCTACAAAGATTGAAATAAACAACTTTCCCGAAATTTGCTTTTACAAAAGAAGACAAATTTGCAAGATCTCAGCACTTCCCTCTTGGGAGAGAATGAGATTCACAGTCTTTTTGTTGTTGTTTGAAGGTTTATTTATTTAGTTGAAGATCAGTTACAGGGATAGATCTTGCATCCACTGGTTCACTCCCCACATGACCGCAATAGCCAGCACTGGCCGAGGCTGAAGCCAGTAGCCAGAAGCTTCGTCTGCACCTCGCATGTGGATATCAGAGGCCCAAGCACTCAGGCCATCTGCTGCTGCTTTCACCAGGTGTCTCAGCAAGGGACTAAATCAGAAGTATAGCAGCCAGGACTCCCGACAAGGGCCCATAAGGGATGCCAGCATTGCGAATGGTGGCTTAACTCACTATGCCACAATGCCAGCCCTGAGACAAATAGTCCTAACATTCCTTGACCACATCATTGTTTGATGCTACTGGGAAGAACACAGAATGGGAAAATTCTCACCTGTGCAGCTAGGACACGGTCAACCAAAGATCTTGCAACTGTTAAAAAAAAATCCAGGTAACAGTGCGGTTCATCCCAGTCTTCTGTTCTACAAATGGCTTGTTAACACTAATGCTCTTTGAAACAAGTTAGGCCAGCTTTAGTCTTTATCTCATGCCACTTACCCCTGGGCCCCTACCCTGGTAGGAAATGAGCAACAGAATCTGATTTTGGCTGCTGCTGCCATGAAAGTCGTGGGATGGCTTCTGAGGGGCTGGTTTGTATTGGCTCTGTCTTCAGTTTAAAAACAAATATCTCCCCTGCCACGCTTGGTCCCTAGGTGACAGCGACACTGAGGAACTTGGTGGATTCGCCACTGGCAAGAATGAAGCTCCTGAGCACCAGTGCCCTGCCCCAGCTCTGCACGGTGATAGAACAGTACATGAGTGACAAGGACGTCTGCACCAACGTCGCCAGGATATTCAGGTGGGTACCAAGCCTTAGCAAAGGGCCTGTGCTTACATTCAGGGTTATCAGGAATGTCTGTGGGGGTGATTGGCAAGGAATCCTCTACTGAAAATTTGAGGGCTTTTCCTTCACCTGGCAGAAAAGGTGGATTGAGTGGCTGGTGTTTAAAATAAAGCATTGAAGCTGACTGTGACTGTGGCGCACTCACTGCCTGCTGGTGCCATTCATGTACTTGTGAGCCGTAAGCTGGCCTTGTGCTTCTGTTGGTTGATTGTCACCTTTCTCTCTGCTTAGTGGAGGCAAAGAACCATACAAAAAACATGACAAGCATTCTGTTACACTTGGAAATATTAAGAGTTATATTTCAACAAGGGGGTCACTGATTAAGAAGCCTGGGGTTAAACTTCAGAACTATGTTTAAATTTGTCTTTTGATGCTCTTAGCCCTTTTTTGCATAATCACTGATCATTCTAAAAACATATTTGTGTATTTAGGTAATTTATTAGTTATTTGAAAGAGCAACAAAGAGAGAGAGAAAGCTTGCATCTTCTGGTTTATTCTACCACCACAGCCAGGGCTGGGCCAGTCCACAACCAGCAGTCAGAAACCCCATCAGGGTCCCCCACCCCTGGGTGGCAGGAGACCCGTGCACTTGAGCCATTCTCTGCTGCCTTCCCAGGTGCATTAGTAGGGAGCTGGATCAGAATTGGAGCAACCAGGACTTGAACCATAGGTCTTTCTTGACCTATAACGTAATAGTTGTTATTTTTTGTTTGCTTAAATACAAAATTTCCTGAAGACTGAATTACCAGTTGACCCCCAGTTGAGGATAGGAGTCCAGATTTGCTGTTTTAGCAGCACATTTTCCCCAGCTTTGCCCTGGGAATTTCATCGTGCTTCCTTTTTGGAGCCCTGTCACACCACACAGAGTTTGTTTTGGGGTATGGAGAGTGGCAGGTTGGATTCACATTTGGTTTTTCCCATACAGGTAAGGCAGTTGGCTCAGCACCTCTTACTGAATTCACTGGCTTTTTTTCTCGCTATCTCTGACCATCATGGATAAGTTTCCCCCGAATTGGGAGGTCTGGTGGGCATTCCATGCCGTTCATCCTTAGCCTTGTAGCGTATGGCAGATTTAAGTCCCGCGGGAAGTCAAATCGCATCCTTGCTTTCTCCTTTACAATACAGACTTGTCCTACTGTTCTCTTTTCTTCAGGAAGTTGGGGACTGGTAGAGGAACTCAAGGGCTTTTAGTGGAACTCCATAGAGTCTGCAGACAAATGGGGGTTAGAGTGCATTGCCATCTTTATACTAGAGATTCAGTTTTCTTAATTCTTATGTATCTAATTATCCAGGATAAAATATTAAAGTGCATATCTTTAAATTGACCTTTTAAACTAAAGTTAAAACTTTACTAACTCTTCAAACAAGGTTTTATTATCTTTAAAATGTAGTAATAATGTGAGCACAGAACTCTCTCTGTCATCTGGTGAAATTTCTACTTGGTTCAGTGTCAGCAAGTTATATTTTGTAGAAATTTATCCATTTTATTTAAAACTCTGAACAATATAAGTTGTTCTAAATATTTTTTTAAAAGATTTATTTATTTTTATTACCAAGTCAGATATACAGAGAGGAGGAGAGACAGGGAAGAATATCTTCCATCCGATGGGTCACTCCCCAAGTGAGCACAAGGGCTGGTGCTATGCCGATCTGAAGCCAGGATCCAGGAACCTCTTCTGGGTCTTCCATGGGGTTGCAGAGTCCCAAAACTTTGGGCTGTCCTCGACTGCTTTCCCAGGCCACAAGCAGGGAGCTGGATGGGAAGTGGGGTTCCTGGGATTAGAACTGGTGCCCATATGGGATCCTGGAGCGTTCAAGGCTAGGACTTTAGCCGCTAGGCCATGCCGCTGGGCCCTGTTCTAAATATTCTTAATGTGCTTTTAATCTGTTGCATCTTAGTGTTCCCTGTTTTTATTTTACTTAACAAATATTTTATAGTACGTACAGTGACAATCCAGGCAATATTTTATGTATTTTGCAAATACTAATTCATTTCATCTTTACCACAGCTTTTTAAAAATAGATGCTAATGTTGTCACACTCACGTGCTGTTGAGGAAATGGAGGCATAGAGTAGCTGGGTAATTTTCTTAAGATCCCCACAGTCGTGGAGCTGTAATTCAGACCAGGTCATCTGACTCGACAGTCCTACTTGTGGCGGCTGGGTCATACTCCCTGTTTGTGTGGATTGTCAGTGTGGATTTCCAGTCCTCATTTTGACTAGATATGATGTTACTCTTTTTTTCTTCATCAGTCTTGTCAGAGGTTTGCCAATGTTACCAGTGTTTGCGAAGAATCAACAGGTTTATTTGATCAACTTTGTAGTATTTTGTTTTCTTATTCCTTCTGATCATGTCCTTATTAATTCTTTTCTTCTACTCTCTGTGGACATATATTTTTTAAAGATTTCTTTATTTTTATTGGAAAGACAGATTTACAAAGAGCAAGAGAGACAGATAGGAAGACCCTGTCTGCTGGTTCTCTCCCCAAGTGGCTAGCATGGCAGAGCTAAGCCAATCTGAAGGCAGGTCTCCCTTGCAGGTACAGGGTCCCAAGGCTTTGAGCCATCCTCTTCTGCTACCCTAGGCCACAAGCAGGGAGCTGGATGGGAAGTAGAGCAGCCAGGATTTGAACCGGCACTCATGTGGGATCCCAGCAGATGATGGGCAAGGATTTAGCCACTGAGCCATCATGCTGGGCTCCCTATCTTACGTTTTTATTCTGTTTTAGTTAGAAACTCAGCTCCTTTTTTGCCTTTTTTTACAAAAATGTTTAGTCTTATTAAGGCTATACATTTTCTCCTAAATGTTGCTTTAGCTATATTCTGCAAATTTTATAATGTTTTTATTATTCACACTTAAGTATTTTGATTTTCCTCTGTAACCTATAAATTATTTAGCTATTTATTTTAACATATAAATTAAGTGTTTGAAAGTATGCTTTCTTAGCTTGTGTTTTCTGAATCACAAGTGTGTGTGGTCAGTTCACACCACACACAAGTGTTAAATGGGCTTCAGGGTTCTAGTTTTCAAAAGACATTTTCTAGTTTGCCTGCGCTGTCCACGGATCCAGAGAAGAGGGCGGGCCTCTGTGCAGGTCATCTCAGTGGGGTGGGGAGAGTATCTCAGAGCTCTTTATCCTGGAGTGGGCAACTCCTTGAGGGTGTGTGTTTAGCATGGCACCCTGTGTGCCTAGATTGTACAGAAAAAAAATGCTTATTTTTGCCACTTTCCATTTCTGCAGCAAGCTCACCTCTTACCATGACTTCTGCGTGGCCTTGGCCAGCTGTTCCAGATGTTACGCTTTGTTTTTGAATCTGATAAACACATACCAGAAGCAGCAGGTCAGTGCTTTGTGCGTTTAGAAACACTTCAGCCTGTTCCTCGCCCCGACGTGTTGACACAAGCTCATGTCCAGTGACTTTGTGTTTGAGTGGCCTGGGCGTCTATTGAGGAGGTGTTGGATTTCAGCAGCACTGTTCCTCCCAGTGAGCTGTAGATTGCTCACCCTGGTGTGGGGCTGAGGGTTGACTGATCCCAGGGCGCCAGTGCTCACCTAGTGAGTCAGGTGAGCTGCTGCAGGCCTGACTGTCTGCATTTTACCAACCCCCTAGAAATTTCCAGTGTGGACTAAAGACTGGATGTGTTTTCAAGATTTGCCTTGCCATGGAAACCTCTAATTCTGCTTTGGTCTTGCTCTTTTTAGATGAAATTTCTAGACAAAAAAAGTCGTTATTATATTTGAAAGAGAGAGAAGGATGGAGAGAGAGAAACAAGTCTTCTATCCATTGGTTCACTCCCCAGGTGGCGGCAGCAGCGGGAGTGGGGCTGGTCCAATGTTGGGAGCCAGAAGTCACTTCCAGGTCTCCCACATGGGTGCAGCGGCTCAAGGACTCAGGTCTTCCCTGCTGCTTTCTCAGGCTGCAGTCAGGGAGCTGGATCAGAAGTGGAGCAGTCAGGAATTGAACCAGCTAGGCAAAGAAGTTAAATAATTTTAACGGATTGGGCAAAAATATATACAGAATTAAAATATACAACTCACAAATATATTCTTAATAAGAATATAGATATTGATTTTCATTATTATAATTTCTTTAATATTCATTTAATGTCATCTACATCTATTCAACTTCATCAATGAGTAAAACAACATCAACTCGTCAGTGAACCATCTTATTTATGAGTACAGAATATGTTCATTCCAAATGTGTTGCATTTTCAAAATCACATGGTAAATTCCACCAGCACTAAGACAGCATAATTTGCTTCACTGTTCATCCAAGTAATGCGCCTGTAAAAGCAGTGGAAAATGTCCCAAGTGCTGAGCCCCTGCCGCTTGCATGGGAGACCTGGAGGGAGCTCCTGGGTCTCGACTTCAGAACAGCTCAGCTCTGGCCCTAACAACCATTCGGGGAGTGAACCAGTGGACAGGGGATCTCTGGGTTTCTCTACTTCTCTTTCTCTCCTCCTTTCTCTTTCCCTTTCTTCCCCTCTCCTTCCCTTCTTCTCCCTCTGTTTCTCTGAAACTCCACCTTTCAAATAAAATAAATCTGTAAGAGAAAAAAAGACCAAGTACTTTGGCCTGTAGGTTTGTGTGTATTTGAATTAGCCACATTAAGATTATCTCAAAGCAAAATCCCTGTTTGCCATCAATACTTGGTTTTACCCAGCCAAATATTTCTGCTGAAAATGATTAAACTTGGCAGCATTTGCACTCTCTTAGCTGTTTGTTAAAAGGTTAGTAGTCTATTTTTAATTATACAGATGTCAAGGAGACGTCTGTAGTCATATCATTTATTGCAGTTTAAAGATGATGAATTAGTAAGGTTTCGTCTATTTTTAAAAAGCTTATTTATAGATATGCAATTATTTGATTCTAGGTGTTTAGGTCACAAATGCCTCTCCCTATATATTTTATATTTTCCATGATTTATACACCTTTGAAGATTTCAAGGTGTAGGAATCTTCCATATTATGAATGAATTTATTGGATCTACCATACATTATTTACAATATGCTGTTCATTTAAGTACCCATTATGCATTTATTAACTTAGAATTTAGTAATTATCATAATGGAAGGCATTAAGACCTGAATGCTTTTTTAAAAATTAGACTCATTTATTTGCAAGTCAGAGTTACTGAGCTAAGAAAGAGAACTTCCATCTGCTGGTTCACTTCCCAAATGGCCACAACAACAGGACGACATGAGATGGGCAAGACAGAGGCCAGAAGCTTCGTCTGGGTCTCCTGCATGGTTGGCAGGGCCGAGCCAAGTTCTTGAGCCATCTTCCATTGCTGTCCCAGGCACATTAGGCACCTATATGAGATGCTGTTATTGCAAATGGCAACTTAACTCGCTGTACCACAAAGCCACCCCCCACCAATTGTTGTTTAAGGAAACATATCACATGATAGCAAAGATAGTCTACTATAGCCCTAAAAGAAGCCTTCTAGATCTTAAATGAGATTTCTGAGGCCTTGCAATTTAATTAACAGTAGGTTAAATTGCTATCTTTGACATCAGTATGCCATGTGAGCACCAGTTCGAATCCCCACTGCTTTGCTTCTGATTTAGTTCCCTGATAATGATCTAGGAAAGCAGCAGAAAGATAACCCACATGCTTGGACCTCTGCCACGCTTGTGGGAGACCCTGTGGAGTTCCTGGCTCCAGGCCTGCCTGCCATGGCCACGTGGGCAGTGAATCAATAAATGAAAGGTCCCTCTCTGTCAAATAAATAAACACATGATCTGGTTTTTTTTTTAATGAGGTTTATGTATTTTATGAGGGTAGTTGAAGAAAAAGTTCATGTAAAATGGACTTTAAAATAAATTTAGTTTGGTAAAAAAATATGAAATCTATGTAGCATTTTGGTAGGACACGGCAGTCTTATATATAGAGAGAGGAACAATGAGAAAGTTCTTCCAGCCACTGGTTCATTCCCCAAATGGCCAAAAAGACTTGGGCTTGGTGAGGTTGAAACCAGGAGCTTCTTCCAGTCTTCCATGTGAGTGTAGGGGCCCAAGCACTCGGACCATCTTCCGTTGCTTTTCCCAGGTGCGCTAGTGGAGAGTTGGATCAGAATGGGACAGCCAGGACTTAAGCCAATACCCTAATAGGATGCTGATATTCCAGGTGTCAGCTTTACACAATAAGTCACAAAGACAGTCCCTTCTGAAAATTTTTAAAGTGTCCTCATAGTTTGTGAATTAATTTTCTTTGGAGTTTATGTGTAGCTTTACTTTCTCATTGTTACTGTTTGTTTTCTGCTGTTATGATTTTGGATGAGTAGGCAGACTTATGGGGAGCACATCTCTTTGCCTTGAACTAGAATTTTCAAATTTTCAAATGAGAGTGAGAAAAATTGAAAACTTTGAAACTTAAAAGTTTGATTTGAAGTTATGTTGTAACCTATATTTTTTCTTAGAAGGAAGAAAATCCATTTATGGAATACTGTCAAACAATTCCATTGCTTTATTGTATTATGATGTAGACACTGCTTGGTTTCTGTGATTACAGCTTAAATGATTATTATTTTTTAAAGATTTATTTTATTGCAAAGTCAGATATACACAGAGAGGAGGAGAGACAGAGAGAAATATTCTCCGTCCGATGACTCACTCCCCAAGTGACTGCCATGGCCGGTGCTGCGCTGATCTAGAGCCAGGAGCCCAGATCCAGGAACTTCTTCCGGGTCTCACACGTGGATGCAGGGTCCCAAAGCCTTGGGCCATCTTCAACTGCTTTCCCAGGTCTCAAGCAGGGAGCCGGATGAAAAGTGGAGCTGCCGGGATTAGGACCAGTGCCCCTATGGGATCCTGGCACATTCAAGGTGAGGACTTTAGCCGCTAGGCCACGGCACTGGGCCCTAAATGATCACTTTTTAAAAGATGTATTTATTTTACTGGAAAGGATTACAGAGAGAGAAAAAGGGAGAAAAAGAGATCTTTTCATCTGCTGGATTGCTCCCCAAGGGCCACAGAACATGGGCTGAGCTGGTCCCAAGCTAGAATCCAGGAGCTGTTTATTTAATTTATTGGAAAGGTAGGTTTACAGAGAGAAGGAGTGACAAAAAGATCTTTCCATCTGATGGTTAACTCTCCAAATGGCTGCAATGGCTGGAGCTGAGCCAATCTGAAGCCAAGGCTCTTCTAAAGCAAGGCTTTGGTCTGTTCTCCATTGCTTTCCTAGACCACAGCATGAAGCCAGATGAGAAGTGGAGCAGCCAGGACACAAACTGGTGCCCATATAGGATCCTGGCACTTTTAAGGGGAGGATTAGCCAATTTAGACATTGTGGTAGGCACACACACACACACACACACACACACACACACACACACGTGCGCGCACACACACACTCTGTTAATTTGAATGTCATTTTGTATTATTAAAATGGTTTTCTTTTTCTTTTTTAATTTACTCATATTTATTGCCTTAATATCTCATGTTCATATCACCGGTGATTTATGCTTTCTAATCCTTCGCCCCTTCAGTCTCACACTCTCCAAGTCCATTGGAGGTGTTGAAGGAGGGTAAGCAGTAAGAAGCCTTTCAAGGGAGACAAGTGCAGGGTGCTAGTGGCAGGGAGTGAGTGCAGGTTTATTTTCCTACTCATCTCTCACATTTTTTAGACAGCAGGGAATATCTGATCAGTTACAAGGAGGGGAGAGAATTTTGAGGAGTGTTTTTCTTGCAGTCTGTTACAAAATGGTAAGTGAAGAGAGGCGCTCTGGAAGATGGACGAAGGATCCAGATGTTTGTCAGTGGCACACTTCCCAGTATATAGAGATCCGTTTCTTTGCTGCACTGACCCATTCGCCTTTGGCTGTCAGATCTGTCACTTCTGTTTCTCCTTGCTTGGTATTGATCAGCTGCTAGCCTTCCAGGGTAGTAAAAGTCATCCTCGCAATGCCCACCCCACCACAGTTACACCGAGATCTTTGCTGGGTGCACTGGTTCCCTTGACATCCCAATGAGACTGCAGTCTATCCCAGGCTGAGAAAGTTGAATGTGCTTATCCTTTTACTACATGTTATCTTTGTGCTTTGATTTCAGAGAAAGGAGAGAGAAAGCTCTCAAGATACTTATTCATTGGTGCTGCGTATGCTACATAGCAGCCGGCATGCACTTGCAATCCACTTCTGACAACTGGCTTGAACCAGTGTCTGCTGTAGAATGGTACCATCCTTTCTTGAGGTTTCTGAGGCAGAGAGAAGGAAGTCTCCCAGTTTTCTGAATGTGTGTATGTTATTATTATTTTTCCTATAGCAAGAAAAAAGCTCTTGGAGGTTTCATGGATATGCAGCAGGTCTAGGTTTCCCTTCTGAAGGAACTGACTGGA